ATATGTGTGTGTGTGTGTGTGTGTGCCCTCGTCCTCGAGCATCTGACGCATAGACCGAGCCAAATAAGAGGACAGCAAAAACAACAATTATCAGAGGGTCTCTTTGATGAATACAGTAAAAAAATAATCAAAAAGAAAGAAAAAGGAAACAAAAATTTAAAAGAAAAAAAGAATGACCTTACCTGTTCACTACCTATAACCACAAAGAGCTCACAGAAGAAAAACGGAAAAAGGAAAACTTGTTTTAACATCATATCAGCGTAGTCTTACTCCTCCAAAGAGTATGTTTTCGTTCATCATTCCAAAGCAGTCTTTAGTCTGGGAATAAAAAAACAACAACCCCTCCCCCCTCCAAATAAAAAGATAAACAAACAAACAACCCTCCCCCTAAAAACACTGCGTATCGATACCATGATGAACACCGTCAAGAAGAGCAGGTATTCGCTTGGACTCAGAGTTGCTGCCCCCTCAGCTGTCCTCAGGTCACGCGCAACCTTCCAGTGACGTCATCGTTTCTCCCCAGATTGCCACGACGTGTTTAACCAAGGCTTCCGCGTGAGTGCAGAATACCAGATCCTGCCACGGTCTATGTCGCAGATGCAGTCTGTCTACTGCCAGATGATCAACGGGACGGGGTACGTCATTATCTCAAAGATCGTACATAACAAGATAGTTCACTCAGTCAAAAAAGTGTCCGCGGAAGTCGGCGCATTGGCACAGATGGCCCTGCAGTCTTTGATTTGAAGCCCTCTTTCGTTTCTCCAGAAGGAGAATAGGAATAGCACAGTTTGTTAGTTTCACTGTTATTGTTTTTGACACAAGTTGGGTAACTCTGATCGCAAAGTCCGCACTTTTTTCGAAGAGGGCGCCACCAAATTTTGAGGGCACTTTTTTAATTGGTTCAAAGAGAAGAATGAACTATCTTGTTATATACGATCTTTGATTGTCTTATAAAATTCATGATGGAATAAAGTTTTCCCGCATCCGATCCGCACCTTGGGGATTGCCTTGTTAGTGAGGCAACTTCCTGGGCCTTCGGCATATTGTGATAGGGTGGCCAGTTCCTTTCCACTCCGGCTTTACTTTCCCAATTCAAAGTCGGGTAACCATTTCTACTGGGTGGGACGGAGGGGGCGAAAAAAATCCATGCCCAAACCAAGGCTCGAACCCGCTTCGGAAACGAGCGCACTTACCGCTCCACCACCGCACCCTCATGATGGAGAAAATGTTCAAATCGTTCACCCTCTCCCCCTTCCCCAAACTCCCACTCCCACACACATACACTTCACCTATGAAAGCTCCCTCTACAACTCAGGTTCAAGAACACAAAGGTAAGGATTCGAACTAGGGTCATCTACACGGTGGCCCAGCGTAATGCAGACAGAAGTCAAGATGCTCCTCTGTGTTGGTTCTCTCACACCCAGTGGCGTCGATGGCCAAGTGGTTAGGCCACCGGACTCGTAATCGTGAGATTGCAGGTTCGGGGGTTCGAGCCTCAGCTCGGTCCGACGTTGTGTCCTTGGGAAAGGCACTTTACTCGAATTTCCCACTTGGCGCTGTCCTTTCGGAGACGGACGTTAAACTAGGAGGCCCCGCCTCTTAGATAACCTAATAGTGTTGATAGGGGTGTAAAACCCATACCATAGAGAGATAGATCTCTCACACCCAGCGGAACCGAGGAACAGCGACTTGGTGGATACAAAGATCGTGTCTAATGAGATAGTTCCCTCATCTCTTTGAGCCAATTAAAAAAGCGCGTCCTCAAAATCCGGGGGCGCCCTCTTCGAAAAAGTGCGGACTTTGCGAGCAGAGATATCGTACTTATGTGAAAAACAAGAACAGTGAGACTAACAAACTGTGCTATTCATATTCTTCTGCTGGAGAAATGAAAGAGAGCTTCAAAACAAAGACTGCAGCGCCATCTGACCGCTTTGTGAACTATCTTGTTATGTACGATCTTTGGTGGTATCATCCTATACTGTAACTGAATACAGCAAGACACGGTCGGTTATATTTCATTTTTTGATTTTTGATAACTGGATTTCGTTTGTTTAATCATGACGTTGGGATTTTTTAAAATCAGTTGTTATGTTTTTCCGGCAAAATCCAAATATAAGATTTCTTCACACAAGAAGACACACGCACACACACACTAACGCACACACACACTCAAACACTTTTAGGTATTTTTATTTTATGTATATATGTATAAATAT